ATTCCTGTGGCGACCGCTACGGTTTCGAGGATACCACACACTTACTCCCCGACCTCCACTCCCGAATCTCCAACGACACGGCCTGCGATAAAGTCCTCCTCTCGTACAAAGGCCAGTTCGTCGCCTCCGCAAAGCGCATCCGCGGCATCGACAAAGCAATCTACGCCGATATTCGCGAGGCCTTTGTCAACCCCAACAGCTGGGCGCATCAGGAAGAGTACCTCCAGGGTCGCAAGGACTCGATGAGCGCGCCCGTCTTTGGATATACCGTCGAGCGCATCTGGAATCTGCTCTTGCAGTGTAACGATATGGAGGTTGCGTGGAAATGTGCCAGTCTGGTCAGTGGGAAGAGGACGGGCGGGAGTATGGGGGATTGTCAGTGCTTTGATCCGGTTGAGACGCCTGGGGTGAGGGGGGTTGAGGGGGACGAGGAGGGTTGAAGTTGAACGAGACCTCTGTATGATTCGGCGTTTGCATGTGCGCAATATACCCCCCCTTTCTGTGTAGATTTTTGTTTGGCCAGCGTAGTAGTATACTGAAGTACGCTTCCCCCCCTCCCCCAAGGGTTTATGATATAGATGGCACGCTTCTACATAACTAAGGTTAGAAAATTTGTTGTGTGTATGTATGTGTGCATATAGGTATTTGTAGATACATTAATACGACATGAAGATGAAGTTGGAGATTGGGAGTGTTTGTATACGACGTATGTGTGGCTTTATATTTTTTTGGTCGTGATTTATTGCCTTTTGCGCGGTTTTTTTTCCCTTTTGTTGTGCATTATCTTTCTTTTTTGGGTCAAGTTGCTGTTTTGCTTGTTGCTGCGGTCAGCCAACAAAATATTTTTTAACCACGACATCAGCAGTAGAAACGCGGAAAAAGATGGAAGGAAATCAAGAGGAGAGAGAGGATGGGAGGGGAGGGGAGGCACGAAGGTCATTTCAATCCTCTACAAGGACAATGTGTAAGTAGTTTGTGTGGTACGAATAGTTGTACAAGAAACACTTGGCTCTTTTTCCTTGTTTGTGTTGCATTGCATTGCGTTGCGTTGCGTTGCGTTGCGTGTTGTGTTGCTCTCCTTGCATCAATCGATGCTTGTTTTGTTTTTTGTGTAAAGCGCGGCGCCTACATTACACACCTTGTATCCAACCTTCCTAATTAGGAAAGTACACCAAATCTTACACTGTCGATTGCAGTAGTGATTTTGCTTCATACAAATGAAGTTGCAATTATCCGCTCCCTAAGGCCCACAAAACTTTTTGTTAAATTTAGGGATTTTAAGGTGATAAGAGGTCCTTTTACATATAAAAAGTATAACCCCGGGCTTATTTTTAAGGAAATCAAGCGGTGGTGGGATATAATTGGTGTTTGGTTGTTTTTTGTTGGGGTCTTGAGGAGGGTCATACAGCTCTCAGGTGACCCAAAAGAAGTTGGTGACACACCTGTGCACATGGCACCTGCGCAAGCAACTTAAAAAAAAAAAGGAAAAGAGAGTATAAACCACAGTACAGCTACCTTCGTTTATGCCTTTTTTAACCATTTAGATATTTCTAGGGTATTTCTGTACTTACCTATGTACTCTGCCTACTAGAAGTTCATTTGAAAAAAAGGGCGAAAATTATATAACATTTATAAAGTATAAATAATATACAGAATGTTCTATGGTTTGCTTACATATGTACCTAGCATATGCCTAGCATATGTAGGTAGGGGGAGGTTGAGTGGCTGTAATGAATGGCACACCCATTCCCCCGGTGTTCTTTTTTATTTTTTATTTTTTTTTGTAAAAAAAGAAAGTTGCTGTCTGGGTAGCTAGTGCCGCAAATTCATCAAGGACAAGACCGACGGAATCTCGCGAGACAAGTACGTCTGGCCCGACAAAGGCAAAGACAAGGCCTACGCCAACTATGCATCCCCATCCACCAAAGACGTCCCCGAGGACCAGGCCGATGACTCCGCTCCTATGTTTGCCACCTTCCGCGGCATGAATATCGATTGTAAGTGCTCCGTCTCTCCCTACATACACGACCATCGCTGACCTTGCCCAAACTAAGGTAAGGGCTGATGAGTTGGATGTACGGGAACGCGCTATGGCGTATGTGACGGAGGATCTTGCTTTTTTTTGTTCACGCTCTAGCAATCTTTCACGAGAAGAACTGAAAAAGCGAGAGGAAGAACACAGGTCTATCTGTCTCGCTGCATCTAATCGAGATAGAGATCTCGAAAAAAACATGCAGGAAACCTTGAGGGACGAGCGAGGCATAAAGAATGAGTCCGACATTTTACAAAGCTCCTTTGATTATCTCGCTCTCCGACTAAAGCAAACATACATACATAGCTCTCTTTTGCTCGTCCGTTCGATCGATTTCTTGCGCCAATACGCCAATGTCGCGGCCGTGGCCCCCGGGGGAATACGTACTCCAATTTCCCAGAAAAAAAAAACAACGCCATCGGAAAACATGCAAGGTTTGGCCGCGTTCCTATCAACCCTCCGTCCTGTGACACTTTCCTGTGGTATATAGATATAATACAATCGTGGTATCCCCATTAACCCCCCACCCCCCGGAGAGTGTGCCAACTCGGCATAACAGTGTAAAAAACAAAAGCCGGAAAAAGGAAAAAAGACACCGAGAGATCGCCCAGCCACAACAAGCGATTAAACATCCAAGCTGCCTATCATATAAAACAGCAAATACGCTTCCGCGGCCAGCACCTCAGCCTCGCTGACGAGCACCACTTTGCTGTCGTCAAAGGCGAACCAGTCGCTCCCTTCGCGAGAGTAGCTGACGTAATGGCCCGAGTCAATTTTGCCCTTGTGCACGATGACGGCCGAGAGTTCGTAGATGAGTGAGTTGAGAGGGGAGTTGATGTTGTGGTTCGATGGCGTTGGTGCTGAGGATGCTTTTGAGCTTTTGCCTTGCGTGGAGCGGTATTCGGTGGTGTAAGGGTACAGGTCGATGGTGAGGGGGAAGGCGACTTTTGTGTCGATTTTGGAGGACGTGGATTTGGAGTGCTCAAAGCGCTGTAGTCTGGTCAGGATCACCTCTGGGTGTACAGGACGAATATGAAGGAGGGACGTACTTTGAGATGTATGGACAGCGTTGGCGGCAACCTTTTGATGCTCAGCTGCTTTACCGCATTCTGTCCGCCATCGCAGTTTTTGCAGGTATAGTCGGCAGAGCCTAGCTTCTCCCGGCCAGTAAACCTGTCGAGACAATCTCGTAAATCCATTGAACCGTCGCCCGCGCCCTCTGCGTCAACCTTCCGTTTCTTCTTTTTAACATCCAAACTGAGGTCCATGTACGGGTCAAGAGCGGTGGTAGTGTTGCGGCAGCTATCGCAGGTGACGGTGCTGGAGAGTTTTCCATAGAAAGTCTGGTGCACGATGCAAGAGCAATCTTCTGAGTCGGAGGATCCACCGTTTTGTAGGTGCAGCGTATTGAGCATGAACTGCATGTATTCGTGCGCATCTTGCTGCTGATAGCCTGCCAGTGCCTATATGATCCGATCAGTATACGATTTGCATTGGGTGAGGTATGAATAAACTCACTTCTCCTGCCAACCAGCTACCCATGAGCATGTTGACCGCGCCAAATCCCTCTGTCTTTTCGACAGAATGGAACTCGACAAACATCTCATCGAGTGCACAACTAACACATGCCTCTCGCTCACACTCCACTGTCTTGTGTCCTTCTGACAAGTAGTAATTCCTTATGAAGGGGTTGTGCATTAATGTTTGCAGGATAACGCTCATGAAGCAGGTCTGGCCCATGTTATAGAGACCTCGCAGGCCAATGGCGCGACAGGGTAGGAATGTCGAGTTGTTGATGATAAGTTTGTGCTCGTCGGTCGTGGTTGTGTCTTCGAACTTCCGCTTTTTGCCTGCCATTTTTCTGCCGTCAGCTTCCAAAGCATTCCCCGATGATCCCGAGGCACTGACCTTTCTGCAACCTTTTGGCTTCTAGATCAGGATCGTAGATGAAGTCCTGACAGTCACCACAGTAAACATGTCCACCTCGCGATTCGACAGCTACGCTGCGTCAGTATGTTCCCCTCAAATAAATGTTATGTGACCAACCAAAGACATGTCTCTTGGAATCAATGTGTTCGTCTCGATCCGCCTCGGTCATGATGTTGGGGCATTGCAAGCAAAGGTATAGAGGGCGGAGCGAAACAACAGGCCGGCCGTCTTTCGAGTCCTTGTACGTCTGGGCTATGACACTTGGTTTCTCGTGGATGGTCTGTAGTATCTGCCTGTAGTTGTGGAAGGTCGCCTTGCGCGCATTTTCGAGCATCTCGCCCATGTGCTCTGCTTATATTGTCAGACATGAAGCTTGGGGTAAATATGGCGGAGGTAAGAGAAACACAGCAAGGGAGGCTACGAACCGCACCCGTAGGCTATATGCGCCATCTGACTGCTGGGCACAATAGCACCCTTTGAATTCTTTACAACCTTGGGGGAGGCCAGGGACGCCCCCTTCGGCGCGACAGCGATTGTGTCCATGGCGGCGGAGGTGTGTAGACTACGCTGTGAGGAATGTAGCGTTCGCAGGGCGAGGTGGCAGTTTACATGACGCGGTAAACTGACTAAGACAGGCGTATATCCGCGATGCAGTGGGTGGTCTCGTGGGTTGAATGCGCGGACAGGCGCGGCAGCGGTTGTGAAGTTGATACCTAGAGGCGGAAGCCGTATGCACCTGCATGAAGCCAATGGCTGGATCGGATATAGTTGCGCCATTAGTGGAGATCCGCCCCACGCTTTGGCCCCCGTTGCATTTTGCACCACTACCACTGAACGCTTTCCAAAACGGGTGGGTGGAGAACGTTGCATCGAGTTTACTGCGCGATGGAAAAATATCTTGCATGACTTAGCGTGGCACTTGTCGCAATTCTTAGTGGGGAAGCATGGATGGAAAACAAGACGAGTTGCAGGCTGGGCTGGGAGCTGTTGATGTGCGAATATATCTATTTTACGTTGAAAATTCTGCATCGAATCATCCGGCAGCGTGTCAGAGTGGTTAATGAGTATGACTCGAACGTCTCGCAAGAGCACAAATAGATATCATATGCCTTCGGGCGCGCAGGTTCGAATCCTGCCGCTGTCGCTTCTTTTTTCCTTTTTTCGTTGATTTTTTTGCTTCCTTTGTATCATGGCCCACCCCCTATATATCACGCCGAGCACTCGGAGAACCGGCATCTAGGTCAGGTATTTTGCCTAAGGTGATAATTATTGTACTTTTTTATTAATGAACTCGCCGACTCCACCTCCATCCTATGTTTTACTTTTTCTTTATCACATTTTTCTTCGCATTTTTGCATTCTCGTATATCAATCCAAGTACTTGGAAAATTGTTAACTAGATATTCTCAACCCATTTCCTTATCCCTATCGCCCACGCCCTTAACGTCTTCACCATCCTTGTCTCCCAAATTATCCCTACCACTTCCTCACCGCCGTTTATCTCAAAATCAATCTCCTTGTCGCTTGCAAATATCTCCTCAAGTTCCGAAATCGAAAAAGGTAGAGAGGATCCCTGGTTCGTAGCTGCCGCAGTAGAGTTGGGAAACTGGCGGGGAAATTCACGACGAGGCTTGGGTAACTCGCTACGTTCTCGACAAAGAGACTGTCCATGACATCGATATTCAGGACTACGAAGACGGCGAGACCGCTCGTACCTATATCCTGGAATTGGGGGCTGTAAGAGGCAGCGTCTTCTTGATGGGAGTCTTCCTAGTACCCGCCAACTTGATCTGTCCGCCTCTCCTCTCTATGCTTTGTGGCAATCCATGTATCAGCTGTCCAAGTAGTTAGAACTACCCGTCCTTCTTCTTCAGCAATCCATCGCTCTTCCTTGATCCGTGCAGCGTGCTCGAGCTCGCTTTGAGGGTTTAGGCATGTTGGAATAAAGAGGGGGAGAGCGACAATAAGATGAAGCAAATAAGAGAGTGACAATAGGTGATGTACACGAAAGAGCGACAACAGGTAATATATATGAGAGGGCGACAAGTGATGTCAATTTGCGTAGGCGAATCCGCAGTGGGCATACAAAACCGCTGGATGTTGCGTGACACTGTTCGAAGTCTCCGCTAGAGGGGTGGGCGATACATAAAGTTAATGGTATGTTCTTATATAAATCCTTGACATTACTTCAGTTTGCTAATTTTACTAAGTAATGGTTCAGGTAGAGGAGGAGGCCAGGATGACGGAGTTTACAGGCGAAGCTGACGATGAATATGAAAGTGGCGATTTTATTGAATCATATGAGGAATAGATGTACAATAGAAAAGGAAAGGAAAGGTTTCGTGGGAATGTGATGGATTAGGTTTGGTTTGTTTTAAATTATGAATTTGGAGTGTATATATAATTGCAAATAGCCTTTAAATTTTTTACTAGGTCTCTGCTTCTCTCTTCCTGTCTCTATTCGCGGATGAGCAAACACCGTGACCTAGCTGTGCGAGTCGTCCTCACCACCACCGTCCTTCATAGCTCTGAACTCTCTTCCGAGCCGCTGCAGACAATTTCACCGGGAATCGAGATGCTGGTCTTGAGAAACTTGTCGACAAATGAGCTTTGTCCAGTTTTTTTCTTCTCCTGAAAATTATAAATTATAAATTATATACACATATTATAGCTCAAAATTACATCGTCGGATTCGATGAGACCGCCTCGCTGTACCTAGTTGTAGAGCCCCAACTGCCACCACTTGCACCTCGGTCCAGCATTGCTATCCCTGACTTCCTCGATATCCGTGGCATCGAGTTCCAACACCCGTGCGTCGGAGCCGTACATGTTGAAGTGCTTCACACCCTCTGCCTCCGGTACGCCGGTCTTCGCGAAGCTCGTAATGAACTCTTGAAGCGCAATGGCAACCGTGCGGTTGGTTACCCCCTGGCCTGGGAGCCCCAAAGCGCCTCCTTCATAGTACGTATAGGGTATATCGAAGCCATGGAAAGCTGGGGGCACAGCGAAGAGATATGAGTATGTCTTATTGTTGAAACCCCTGCTCAGATAATTGGTATTGCACGTGAAAACTGACTCGCTGATGATCGTGTTGGCGCGTTCAAAGTTCGTGGTGTAGCCTTGAGAACCGTCGAAGACTTCTGGATACAGAGTCTCTGTGATGTAGTCCAGTGATTGCTGTGAGACTATACCGAAATTGGATTGTAGCAGTTCTTGGACGTCCACAGATGTTTGAACAGACGGTGACGTAAAGAGTGCTCCTTCGTTTGCATTGTGGCCCACCATAACATTCACATCTTTGGCGAAGCGGCCTTGTGCGAGAAGTTGTCCCGGTTGCAATGGTACGAATGCTCCATCTACTACTGGCCCGTAGGTGAACAAGCCATATTTCGAGTCGTAAAGCACCTGCTGCTTATTCGCACGGATTATTGCTTCGGAAGACAGTGCGCGTAAATCTGCCAAAGAGCTGCTGTTGGTGAGGCTCAAGAATTTGCGATACACATTTTCTAGCTCAGTTTGGCTCGACGTGGGGAACCAGCCTGGAGACTGCGGAACCGCTTGTTGAAATGGGACGGGTCCCTTTTCTCCTCCATACGCTGTGATTTGGTGCATGATCGAACCTCCTCCCGCACTCTCTCCAAAGACCGTTACTCGGTTCTTATCGCCACCGAACAAATGAATGTTGTTTTGAACCCATTCAAGAGCAAGTCTCTGATCGTAAAGCCCGAGGTTACTCGTTCCGCCTTCTGCTTGGTATCCGGGTCCTCCCATCCAGCCCAAGGCACCGAGTCGGTAGTTCAACGCAACATAGATGACTTCGCCGAAGCTTGAATTGCCAGAAGCAGCCAGCAAACCGGCAGGGTTCTCGTATTTGTCTCCTGCAGCTAAATTCGCGCGCACGAAGTCAGTTCAACTCAAACTAGGGTGATGCATTGGGTGATCAAAGTCTCAGAAAGTCGCGCCATTTGGTGTCTTGACACTACTTCATACCCGGGAAGACTTACTATAACCGCCTCCATATATCCAAACTAATACTGGAGCGCCAGAGCTAGAGGAATTTGCGCTATCGAAGATGGCTTTAGGTGCAAATACGTCGAGGAACAGACAATCTTCGGTTTCGAGAGGTCCGGGAGCAGGAACTTGGGAACTGGCATTCGCGCCCGGGGGTACCTACATGAAGGATACTAGTCAGTTAAGTTCGAGCAAGAGGGGTCAATACATTATCAGTGTCTCAATACGCCACGTTACGGGGTGTCTCGATGACAGATAACTCTGTATGTGGGGTACAACTCACGTAGGCGGCGGCATTGAATGGAGCGCCGAGAACGACACTGGTAAGGAATTCCGTAGCAACAGCACTCCAGGCTGGCGAGGCTTGCGGGCATCGCCTGTCAAGCTGTCAGTTCTTGGAAGCTGTAGTGTGGGCCTTGGTGTGAACAATACCTTCCTACGTCTCCGTTATCGACACCAGATCTATTCACTGCCGGTGCTACAGGAGGCGCAAATCGCAATTCCCCTACGGGAGGAGCTGCATAGCGGATGTTGGAAAAGTTGTAGAAGTTTCCAGTCTCCTGCAGTAACTGTGAGCTCTTTCAACTGCATACGTAGGAGCTGATAGACTTACATTGAACCCAGAAGCCCTATGCAGCTGATACCCTAAATCCACAATTGGCAATGAAGTATTTTGTGCGCTCACAGCCTCAAGAAAGCTGATAGCCACCGCCACGATTTTCAAATACTGAACCATGACGAACGACTGTCGAAAATATCGCAAACACTCCACAGCCAGGCAATAATCTCGAGAGATTAAAGAGGATTATCAGACGCGCAAATTCACGGCATCCAACGTCCTGATAAATTTTCACGCTCCCAGGCCTCAAGGGAGAAATCTTCCAGAGGGGTACAGACGTCCTCCGTGGAGACCAGCAGCTATCTTATAAAGAAAGAGAAGGGATACCCCAAGCCGCCCCTCTCTAGGAACCCTTGACGACATGATATCGATTCTAAATCGATAAATCGATCCGACCATTCCAAATCCGTAGCTACACCGCCAGGGTATACCGCCGAAGCATTGCCACCGTCATTTTGACCACGCGTACTCGGCACAATGCCGACAGTCTACATGTACCCCTCATCTTTGCTAGAGGAGGAAACGAATCATGGAAGTGTTTTTGATCTAATGAACAAGGATGTTGATGCTGTTGCCGAGGCTGGCGTGCATGGCTTTCCGTATCCGTGTGAATCCGTACCAATGTCGTGCCTGGTGGAACGGGTAGTTGACCTTCTGTAGTTGCTTAAATCCGAGACTAGCTATTGGCACGTGTTGGTTAGCGGGCCGTTGGAAATGATGTTATGGGCGCAAGTAGTGGCTTTCCCTGGTGGCTTCTATTGGCAAGTGTGAAATAAATTGAGAAAGTCCCATTGAAAAAAAAAAAAAAAAAAAAAAAAAAAAAATAACCCCAAGCATCATGAGAGCTAAAACAATGAAAAATATTCATCACAAAGGAAACGGTCAACACAAGGATAACATGCAAATATCAAATTGGGGGCAAATGCTGAATAATGTGATCACGACGCGGTAGAAATTAAGAATCGAATACAGGATAGTATTGCGGGGTGCATAAGATCGGGGAACCCTGTTAACGTACCTCGGAGCGTGTACCTTATCGTATACTGACTCGTTAACGGCAAAATCATACAGGTACAAAATCGAATTTGCACCGGAGCATGAAAAGATAACAGTGGCATTGAATCATGTAATCGACTATTAGCTCATGAACCAAATATCATAACCATGCCACAAATATTGATAACTACGAAATGCGCCTTGAGAGATGCAACCCTTGCCCGTGCTATGCTTTCCAAAACCCTATCTACCCTCAGCGCTTTCCCGCAGATACCGCCCATCACTTCGTTCCGAAAATCCTCTTTATATCTGCAAACTTGACCGGTTTGACCAAGTACTCGTCGACTCCCGCGTCATAAGCATCCTGCTGATCCTGTGCACTCGCTAGACCCGTCAACGCCACGATATTGCTCTTCGTCAGGTTCTTCTCGGCTTCGAATTGCCGGATGCTGCGCGTACTTTCCAAACCCCCCATGACCGGCATCGAGAGATCCATGAGTATGAAATCGAATGGCCTGG